TCTGTTCTGTTCTTTTTGTGTTTATTTGTTCACTCAACAAATATTCATTGAGCAACTACAATATTCTAGAAATAGGCTAGATGTCAGGATATCCAAGCTGGATCACACTATCATTAACAGTGAAGAGAGATATTATTACCCAGAAATAAGGACTTTACAACATGAATAGGTATCTCCCTGACTACCCTTGGATAGTGTTTTCTTTTAATCCCTTCATGTTTGACATAGAGTAGTCAGTGGCTCCATTAAATAGGTTCAGCATCAAAATCTCCTGGGAAGCTTTTGAAGGTTTCCCATTTTAGTCATACTCTACTCAAATCTCTAGGAATTGGTTCCAGAGATCTGTTCTTTTAAAAGGCCTCCGGGTGATATTGATGCAGCCAGCCCAAGCCCAATCTGATATTTGTGTAACATGAATACTTGTCTGATTATAACTTTCATAAGACTCAGTAGTTAGTATAATCGAGGTATACAAAGTTTGGATGGTCAGGTTGACTTATTCCTGTCTAATTCAGGTCTGTATAAACTCTGGTGCCAATTAATGTTTAACTGTTGGACATCCTTTTGACTTTCTCTCTCATATTTGTTATTTTATTGAGCTATTCTTGGGTAATTCAAGAGTAGAAAATATCTGGATATTTGTCAGTTTGATCTACCCATCAAAAGTTCATATCAGTGGGGCCAGCAGTTAGTGTAATGGCTATGTTGCTGGACTCCCATGTAGTCGACCAAGGTTCGTGTCCTGGACCTGGTGGCTTAAAACTCACGCTGGGCACATATGCGTGAGTGCCCGAGATCCTGAGAGGAGAATGGAGGAGAAGGGATTACGGTATGGCCATCCCCTCTGGGGGATGATTTCTCGCTTTCTGTCTCTCTGTCTCTCTCTGTCTGGCGAGTGCATGTGCCCTGTAGGAAAAACCTCCCCCCCACCCCCCCCAAAAAAAAAGTAAAAATTCTTATCAGGGAAAAGAAAGCACACAAGGCATATAGACAGATATTTTGTTTTTAATTTGCCAGAGGGCATGTATGTTTTTCAGAGAGAGAGAGAGAGAGACAGATACAGAGAAACAGGGAAAGGGTGACAGAAAGATATAGAGAAAAGTGCCCCTTATTGGGTGTGTTCACATTCCTTTTGTTGTGTTTCTCATCCTATCATGATTTTGTGCATGCATGTACACACATCCAGTATGTTTGTCAAGCCCTGGGTCCAGGATTCTAATCTCATGGTAAGCCATGTGGGATCTAGCTCTCTTAATCACTAAGCTACAGTGCCAGTCCTGGACAGAGATTTAATAAAGAGAATTTTATTCTCACAAAACTTGTGGAGATAGAGAGGAGTAGACTTCAGGAATACACAAAGGATGCTAAGATTCAGAGGTCAGGGATATGCTGCTCCTGTTGCTGCTTCCATAACAGCCTGTTACGCTCTTCTTTTTAAAAAATTCTATTTAATTATTTTTTCCATGAGTGAGACAGAGAGACTGGATCCCACAATAGCGTTTTTGTGTTGCAATCTACCCCAGCTCCAACCATACCCAGATCATGGGCATGTGTGCTCCTGGCATGTTCAGGTAGGTCTTCAGATATGAACACGAAAGCTTCCCAAACTGGTCAGCCTCACAGAGTGTTGTGTTACTGCTGCATTCTCCTCTCTGGATCTTGGGCACACACACACATGCACCCGGTGTGAGTTTAAGCCACTGGGTGCGGGACTCGAACCACGGTTGACTACATGGGAGCTCAGCAACATAGCCATTATGCTAACTGCTGATTCCTGCAGTCTTAGATATTGAAGGTACCTGGATCTTTCCTGTATAGAAGGTCCTCTTCTTTTTAAAAAACAAAGTGTTTTTCCATTTTTTATGCTGTAAAGATGCATAGTGATTGAAAATAAAAAAAAATAAGAAAATAGAAAAAAGAACATTTTAAAGGTATATAAAAAATTGTTGCATAAAAAATTAAAATAAAGACAAAGTATTGCTGAGGGAATGATTCTAGTCACCCTGAATTGACTTCACATTTTTTTTACCCACTTCTCTTAGAATTATGTAGAATATAATAGTTGAAAATACATCTTCTCTTGTCTAGTTTTGCTTATGTTGTTACTTTTTTCTTTTCCCCAGGTTTTTTTTTGCCCTAGGGTGTATGTACTAGCCAGAGGGAGACAAAGAGTGAGACAATGAGAGTGGAAGTAAGAAATCAACCTCCCACTCTAGAGGGGCTAAATAAGCTGCAATTCCTTCTCCATTCTTCTCCTGGGATGTTGGGTATGTACCAGCATACCCAGCATAATCTCAAACTGTCAGGTCTGGGACTTGAACTTCCATAGGCCACGTGGAAGTCCAGCACCTTAATCACTCCACTACTTACTGGCACTCTTTATGCTGTCACTTAACAGTATATTTTCTAGCCAGTTCATTGGGCTAAGTGTTGTTCCCTGATGTAATATTTGGTCTCTAGTCTAGCTAGCATATCATCTCTAGGATTCAGGTGGGTTACCGTCACCTACCCTCAACCTATCTACCAAGTTTCCATCAGCAGTTTTTTTTCCTGATTCAAAGGAGTCTGGCCTACCTTCTACTTCCCATTGAATTTCTGTAGTTTAAATTTCTCACTGACATACTTCTTGAAAATGAATGATCACTCCTTAGGTTTTTAGTTCTATCTATCTATAATTTTTTTTTAGTTGAAAATAGAAAACATTTGTTGAAGTGTCTTTTTCTCTTAAGGAACATGGAACGGAAATAAAAAGAGTGACTAGTGACAGAAATAAGTATTTTCAAGTGCAGGGGATGTAAGAAATATGAGAATAGTGGGTATAAAGGATAGCTTGAGTCATAAGATAATTTATTAAGCAATAATTGTATTTCATATTTTGATATGTACAATAAGTTGAACAGATTTAATGCAGGGCCTCCTGGTAGACGATTTAGATAACTTGTCTAAATGATCAGAAAACAATAATCTTTAATTTTGATATTGATCATATACTATTAAGGCTTTCTAGTAATTAAGAATATTTGAAAAATATTTTAAGTATTTCATAGATGCTTCCTAATACATTAAAGAATCACGATAATGCCCTTCTCTATAAATAGCATATGAGAAACCAGCAGTTAGCGTAATGGCTATGTCTCTGGATTCCCACGTAGTTGACTGTGGTTTGCATCCTGGACTGGGTGGCTTAGAACTCACGCTGGGCGCGTGTGCGTGCGTGCCCAAGATCCCGAGAGGAGAATGGAGGAGAAGGGATTGTGGCGTGACCATCTCCCCTGGGGGGTGATTTCTCTCTTTCTGTCTCTATGTCTCTCTCTCTCTCTGTCTGGCGAGCACACACGCCCTATAGCGAAAACCTCTGGAAAAAAAATAGCATACGATATGGTTCTTGAACTATATTCTGAGAAAAATACATCTTAGGAGAAGCTTTTAGTATACCTTCCACAATCCAAAGTCTTAGCTATTGGAAGATGCATACTTATTTAGGGGTTGAATGATTTACATTTCAGATATATTGTGTGATATAAGATTTCTACTCAATGCTTTGGTGTGCTGAATTTTCAAAACTAGGTCCAATATAAAATAAAAATTTCTCTGTAACTTTTAAAGGCATTTTTTAGCTCCTTAGTTTTTAAGCTAAGATATAGATCAGAGGGTTCAACAAGGGAATCATAATGCTATTAACCATGTAGGCCACTCTCATATTCTTTTGGGAAATATTAGAAGGAAGATTTAAATTCACATAAGGGAGAGTTCCACAGAATACAGTGATTCTGTCAGGTGGGAGGCACATGTAGAGGGGGCACTTTCTTCTCGGCAGTAGAAGACATCTTTAGGATGGTGGCAAGGATACACATGTAGAAGATGACAACCAATGCTACCATAGAGTTGTTGGTTATAAAACTAGCTACGAGTTCCATTCATCATCACATTCAAACTGTCTACTGAAAATATCTGTTAGGAGTTTGTGTTCTTGACTCAAAGGACTCTAGATCTCATTCAAATTCCCATTGAGGCCCAGCCAGTGGCATAAAGGTTAAGGCAACTGGACCCACATGGCCAGCCATGTGGTTAGAGTTCTGGACCTGGTGGCTTGAAAACATGCCAGGTATGTATGCATGTATGTGCCAAATCCTGAAATGAGAGAGAAATGGAGAAGTTGGCATGACCAACTCCCATGGAAGCTGCTTTCTCAATTTCCTAGTCTCTTTCTGTCTCTGAGGATCACACACACCTTCTAGCAAAATTAAAAAAAATCCAGAGTTTCTGTACTTTGAAGTCATTTGTGTGATGAAAAATGATTTTTTATGTCTTTTCTAAATAAATTATTACTGGATAGTTTTTTCTTTAGAAATATCTACTTTTTGTTTATGTCTCTTGGAGAAAGAAATAGAAAAATGTTTGGCAGAATTCCTTTTCCCTAGGCAAGAAGGATATAGATACAGAATAATGAGGGCAACTAATGATAAAAGTAAGTGTTTTCCAATGTCAGAGAGTGTAACAAATATGGGAACACTGGGCTGAAAGGATAGACTGAATTGTAAGCTGTTTTATAAAGTAATTAATTAATTTTACATTCAGAAATGTACAATAATTTAAATAGACTCTACGAACTTCATTATAAAGATTAGGGAGCTTATATAAATGGATGAAAATGAATGCATATCAATTTTAATATTGATTATAGACAAATTTCAAGTCTTTAAGAATATATTTTAGAAAACATTTTATAAAGTTTATACATACTTCTTTATATCATAAATAATCCAAATAAAATCCATGTTCATGTATAGGTAGTGGTAGATATCTTTCTCAAACTGTTTCCAGGGAATATGTTACAGGAGAGTTCCTTAATTTATATTCCATTCTAAGATTTTATCTTTTGAAAGACATATTACTAATTTAACAGATGAACATCTTTCTATTTTAGAAACATTAAATTTTGGTAAAACATTATCTGTTGAATACTTTGATGTGATTGGTTTTAACAATTTGTATCCAGTCTAGAAGAACTTTTTCCTTATCCCTTTTAACTCTTCTTTTACCTCCTTATTCCTCAAGCTGTAGATCAAAGGGTTCAACATGGGAATCACAATGCCATAAAACGTGGAGGCCACTTTCATATTCTCCTGGGAACTATTAGAATGAGGCTGTAAGTACATGTAAGAAAGGGTTCCATAGAATATGGTGACAGCTGTCAGGTGGGAGGCACATGTGGAGAAGGCCTTTTTCCTCCCTGCAGTAGAAGACATCTTTAGGATGGCAGCAATGATGTATATGTAGGAAAAGATGACAACAAACACAGTGAACATCAAGTTAAATCCCACAAAAACAAAAAGTAGCATGATGTTGAGGTCAATGCTGGAGCATGAAAGGGCAAGAATTGGAGGAACATCACAGAAAAAGTGGTTGATGTTGTTGGACTTGCAGAAGGACAGTGTAAACGTAAAACCTGTGTGTACTGAGGCATTTATTGAACCTATGACATATGAACCAGCTATCAGTCTGATGCAAACTATTCGGGACATAATTATGGGATAGCGGAGTGGCTTACAGATGGCTACATAACGGTCCACTGCCATAGCAGACAAAAGGTAACAGTCACTGGTTGCAAATGTTGCATAAACCAATAGTTGTATCACACAGCCTCTGAACGATATCGAATTGTTTTCTCCTATGAAGTTTTGCAGCATCTTGGGAGTGATAGCTGAGGTGTAACAGATATCAACAAAAGCTAAATGTTTTAGGAAAAAGTACATGGGTGTTTGAAGTCTGGAGCCTGCATTGATGAGAAGGATCATCCCAGTATTACCCACCATGGAGGTTGTATAGATCACCAGGAACACAACAAAGAGGACATACTGATACTTGTGTTGAGCACCAAATCCCAGAAGAAAGAATTCACTCACTTCAGTGCCATTTCCTTGTGTCATGGCTATAGAAAGTCTAGAAAATATAATGACAAGAAAAGAAGAGAAATTATTGCAACATCTCAGGGACCAGCAGTTAGTGCAATGGCTATGTCACTGGACTTCCATGTAGTTTATCATGGTTGGAGTTCTGAACCCAGTGGTTTAAACTCACACCGGGAGTGAGTGTGTGCGTGCCCAAGATCCCAAGGAGAATAGAGGAGAAGGGATTGCGGTGTGGCCATCCCCCCAGGGGGGTGATTTCTTGCTTTCTGTCTCTCTGGCTAGTGCACACCCCCCTCTTGGGGAAAAAAAAAAAAAAGACTGTCACATTTTATGTCATTTAATTGACTTGAATTTTATTGTAAACATAACATGATTTGTAAATTTCAAAGTATTTTTTCTATATGGTTCCACATACATAATTATATGTGAAATATATTTCTTTTCAAAGTAAAGCATATTTTTTAGAATAAAATTGACTTTCAAAGGATATGATTCTGAGAACATGGGGTAACCTATCTTTTCACTATATATTTCTATATAATATATTATATATCTATTGTATAGAGACAGAAAATGAAAAATCACCCCTTAGGGGAGATGGTCATGCTGCAACCTCTTCTCCTTCATTCTCCTCTTGGGATTTTGGACATGCATGCACATATGCCTAGTGTGAGTTTTAAGCCACTGAGTCTGGGACTTGAACTGTGGTTGACTATGTGGGAGTCCAGCTACATAAGCATTAAACCATTTGATGGTCCCACCTTGTCAATATATTAAATACATTTTTTCATTTGCTTTAATGATATAAAACAATACTTCAGTATAATTATGTCCCTTTTCAGCAACCCACACTTTTTCTTAGCTATTTATTATTTTAAACCAGTTTCAAACTTTTGAAATTTATAGCGTTAGAGAAATTTTCTGACAGGTAGTCCTGATACACATGTTTGAAGGCTTCAATCTGTGTTTGAACTATTAAAGATACAACTCTCATGCGTGTGACACTCCTCATAAGTTAGATAATAGTAGAATTCTGTGCGTATAATAGATAGACATGTTCTTCCCATTGCATTCATTTCATTTTGCTATAGTCTCTCATCACACATACACACATTCACATGTGGACTTCTAAGAGAGAGATTTGCATTTTCCACGGCATTATCTTTATTTTTACCTGTAGTCTGGGCTCACAAGAAAATCATCTCATAACAGTTTGATGAATACATATTGGTAGCTTATTTTAAAATAATAAATTTCTTCTTTTCTGCCTCTAAATCTAAGTTAGGTCACTTCTGTACCTAGTTGAACATACTGCTGAAAAAGATTGAATCATGATTTTTCATATATTATAAGCCCTTAAACACGCTGATTTTAGTGCCTTTATTCCAAACAGTGTAGTGTATGGCTAAATTTGCTTTTTGTAGAATAATATGTCATGAACTCTTGGTATGGTAGAAGTTAACTTGCTGATTATCATATTTCTGGACCCCTGCAAACTGGAATAACTTGACGTTCTACTCTCTTTCCTCCTCATCTATTGGCTGGATAGTGGCACTGAGGGAAGCTTTGCAGATTATAAATTAGGGTTGCAGAAAAAAATACAAAGTATCTGGTTAATTTTAAATTGCAGATAAACAAACACAATTCAGTTTAAATGTGACCTAAATATTGCACAGGGAATACTCACAGTAAATCATTACTACGATAAATCATTACTCATATTGTAACTTACATAAAATTCACAGGGTGCCATGTATATTTGTGTTTGCTGAAGTCTAGCTCCATACCTGTGTTACTTACGATAGTCGTCAGGTTGGAATTTTGAATGACTAAGCAGAGCAGAGGCCTTGGTTTCAACACTGATTTTTCCTAGAATTTTATGTTGTTGGCAATCCTTTTTAAATTTAAGTTTATTTATTATATACATATATTATTTTTTTGAGATGTTTTTGCTATAGGGTGCATGCGATAGCCAGAAAGACAGAGAGAGACAGAGACAGAAAGCAAGAGCAAGAAATCACCACCACCCCCCCCAACCAGGAAGGATGGCCATGCTGAAATCCCTTCTCCTCCATTCTCCTCTTGGGAATTTGGGCATGCACGCACACACGCCCGGTGTGAGTTTAAGCCACCAGGTCTGACACTTGAACTGCAGTCGACTACATGAGAGTCCAGCATCATAGTCATTACGCCAACTGCTGGTCCCTATTATTTTATATTTTGCCATAGGGCACATGTGCTTGCTGGAGAGCGACCAAGATAGGAAAAATTGAGAAAGCACCCCATGTCCAGGGGATGGACATGCTATATAATCTTTTGTTCATTTTTTCCATTGGGATTTTGGGCACTCATACATATATGCCAGGCATGATTTTTGAGCTGCTGGGTTCAGGACTTCAACCGCAGTTGGTAATGTGGGAATCCAGTGCAATAACCACCATGCCACTTGCTAGCCCCTAAATTTTATATATTGTTTTAATTGCTGGAGAGCATACGCACTTGCTAGAGAGAAAGCTTAAAAGAGACAGGGAGGAGAAGGCACCCTCCAGTGGAGTGTGGTTATCCCACAACCCCTTCTCCTCTATTTCTCCATTCGTGTGGGATTGTGGGAAAGCATGCAAACACTCCCAGTGTTATTCTCAAGCCCCCCCAGGCAGGGATTCTAACTCAATTGGCCATGTTGGATCCAGCTTCCTAAAACTCTAGAGTATGGGGGTAGCCCATGATCCAAACTTTCTAGTATGATAAATCTTTAAGACTTAGAACTTTAAAAATTTGTAACACTCTTAAACAAATATCACTGTAATAACATGACAAAATAAGATTATGTTTTTAAAAAATGTTTTAGAGAAGACTGACTTCTCCATGGAAGCTGAGAACTAATGCTTTCAGAGCTAAGAGTAATAATTTTCTGCTGAGACTTCACCATCCAATCCTCACTCTCGAGTGGTAGGGCCCCCTGTATCCTTCTCTCTGTCTCTCTGTCTTTTCACTTAAAAAAAAATTTCAGATAAAGTATTTTCTTGGCTCTCAGATCCTCCTTTATCTTGTTAATAATTTCCTTCCCCCCTTCCCATTTAGGAGAGGCAAAGGGCAGGCCTTCAGAAGACTGACTCCTCCATTGGAGCGATAACTAGTGCGTTTGCACTGCATGGTTTTCATGTTGTGCTTTCTTTAAAACAATAAGTTTTTTCTTTTTCTTTTCTGTTTTTATTTTCTCACTCTCTTCTCTTCCTGTTTTCTTATTCTCTTTCTTTTATTTCATCACTTTGCTGCTCAGCATCCACATACTGAGTGTCTAGACAGGTCTAAGTGAACCGCAGCCAAACATCCGAACACTATTAGGGTCAACATATTCCTCAATTCCCACTGAATCTGATGTACAGAGGGAGAAAAATGGAATGGCAAAGAGATTGCAGATCACCTCCTCCTACATGCCTCTGGACACTCAGATTGAACTTCTAGAAATTAGGAAGAAACATATAACCCATCAGGTGACTAGAAATTCACCAAAGAGGCAGAAGAAATATGAGAAATCCAGAAAATACTTCTCCCCAAAGGGAAAAGAATAACACCTCTACATCCACAGACAGTACAATGGAATTAATGGAAATATCTGATAAAGAAGTTATAATATTCATAGTGACAAAGCTAACGGAGATGCAAGAGAAGAGAGACAATGAATTCCAGAAGAAGCAGGGGAAAAGAGCCGATGAGTTCCGGGAGGTGAGGAAGTTCTTGCACGATCTGAAAGAGGAAATACACATCATACGAAAGAATCGAATGAAACTCTTAAAGATGAAAGGTATAATACAGGAAGTCAAAACCTCCCTTGAATGTATTAAAAGCAGACTAGATCATACAGAAAATTGAATTTCAGATGTAGAAGAATGAATCTCTAGCAAAAAAAAAAATCCACCATAAAGATTGAGAAAATAGCCCTCCAAAATGAGAATAATGTACAAGAAATACTAGATGCCATTTAACATCCAAACATCCTGATTATCGGTATCCCAGAAGCTGAAGAGACTAATAAGGGCATTGACAATCTATTCCATGAAATCCTGGAAGAAAACTTCCCAAACCTAGAAAGGCATTCAAAGATCCAGACCCAAGAAATACAAAGGATCCCAAATAGAATCAACCCAAGAATATCTTCTCTAAGACACATATAGCCAGATTGACAAAAACCACACAGATAAGATATTGATTGGCAAGAGAGAAATATCAAGTTACCTACAAAGAATATCCCTTCAGGCTAACAGTGAACCTCTCATTGAAAACAATGCAAGCAAGGAAAGAATGGGAAAATAGATTCAAAGTGTTGAGTGAAAAACAATTTCAACTATACTATACCTGGCAAGATTATTGTTCATATGGGAAGAGAAGACAAGAACATTCTCAGATAAACAAAACCTGAAAGAATTTAGTAACACTAGACCAGCTCTTCACAATGTTCTGAAGGGAGTGCTATGTCGGGAAAACTAGTCAGACACACAGAAATAAGTGTTCAAAAACAACTACGAAAAACTAAATCCTGAGCCAGCAATAGGGAAAGCTTAGAATCAACTGGATTTATACTGCAAAATATTTAAACATTTCTGGACTAGTTTTCAGTACAGTAAGAGGGCTGACTGTGTTTTTCTTTATTTTTTATTTTTTTGGAGAGTTTTTGCTATAGAGTGCGTGTACTTGCCAGACAGAGAGAGACAGAGAGACAGAAAGCGAGAAATCACCCCCCAGGGAGGATGGCCACGCCGCAATACCTTCTCCTCCATTCTCCTCTTGGGATCTTGGGCACGTACGCACACTTGCCCGGCGTGAGTTTAAGCCACCGCGTCCAGGACGCAAACCGCGATCGACTACATGGGAGTCCAGCAATATAGCCATTACGCTAACTGCTGGTCCCAATGCTCCATGACTTTTACATGTTTAAAGGATTATTGTCAAGAGAAGAGATTAAACCAATCTCAACATTGCAAATTTTAGTATTGTTTTAAAATACTTAATTGAAAAGG